TGAAATTCTAAACGTTTCATGTAATTCTTTGACCTAAATTCCGATAAAGGACTTAGCAGAACATCTTTTCATAGTTCAAATCGTTCAAAATTATGTAATTGTCTCCTAACAATAGACGTCACTTATAGTGATAGGCATTTGAAGAATAAACGGCAGCCAGTGGGAGCAAAGATATCATGTCGAGTTCTTCGTTTTGTTAATCGATCCACCTTAACACGCCAACGCTCAGTTACGAATTTCATTTGAATAAGGCGTAATCGTACTTGAACAATACCGATCTTCAAGGATATCATTATAATCAGAGAGTTATGATGGATATAAAGCATCTCTAAAACGCAAATTAACTCGCAAAGATCTATTTCGAAAAACCTTAATTACACTAAATAGCCAGAAAGCGTGCACAATCATTAATAAACGTCTACGACGCCTGGAATTCCGTTAATGAGACTGTTAAGAGAAGGTATTATGCAATAATCTTAGTCAAAAAATGAAGAATACAAGTGCAAATAAAACTGCGGTTATATGAAAATGAGAAAAAGAAACGTTACGGTTACAAAACAGTAATCAAAACGTTACAGAACATGCAATATAGTATTCAATTTGACTGAAACAAAATACTTAGTCGCAGTATTTTATTTTCGCATGATCGGTGTGTTCTTTTGCCCTCTGTTACGGTATCTTGGCTTTTTTTCTTTCCATACCTATACCATGACGGTGAATGGGAATTATAGAAAACAGTTTAGTATGGCGAAGGATAAAAACAATGTAGCAAAATGGAATGTGAATGAGTTATATTAAACCAGTTGACCTTCCTCAACCATCCACAATTATGTTTACCTTCAAAAGACCTCGTTTATCTAATTGCTTGTACTCTTGGCTCCCATCTTCTTTAGTTGTGTACAAATTGCTCAGAGATTTCGAATGAGAGGATACCTCTCAACTTAGATTATGGTTCCGGGCATTGCGATTATGCTAAATCTAAAAGGATTTTCTGCTCTAATATGCTTCCTAACGTTTGTTTAATGGGAACGTTCACTTTTATATTTTGTAATTACACGTGTGATACTTTATTTAATTAGGATGTAATAAAGAATTGAAGAGATTGAAAGTTAATAGAAAGGTATCATTTACCAGATTGCAAACTTACAGCCACATTCTTTTCTAATTGAGAAGAAAAAAAGCTGTAACCTTTAAATGCCGATAGGTACATATGAATAATGTAAGACGATATTTTGTTAGTTTGATGAAGCGATCGCCGATTATCTCAAGTTTCAAAACCACATAAACTTGATGCTGTCAGTTGATCAATTACTGCACAGTTTAAGCTTCAAATTAAGTACTTTCGAAGCGTACCTAAGAAAAATTGCATTGTACAGCTTTAGAGAGATTAGTTTGTTTTTCAACCAGCTGAGAAAGGGTGTCACTGATATTCTTCCCAAGAGTTCAAATCCACAGACCAAATTAATTGTGAAGGTTTAGGTTATATGGTTGACCACAGCCATTTTGATAGACTTTTTCAATACGAAAGGCAGTGAAGTGATTTGGATAGTATGAGAAAGTTCGTAGGTATACGCGGGTGAAGTTCATCTACTTTTTTGCTGCCAAGTTCTCCAGTTATCTCATTTCGCCTCATCACCTCTAAGACTAAATCGGGTAGAAACAAAATTTATATAATTAATAAGACCTAAGCCAAAAACGCGAGGTAAACTTAAGTTCCTTATGTTCTAAAATAATGAAATTAAGGTAAGCTATTCTCTTTCCACTTGTTTTGTTTTGCTGGTATTATCATAAGTTTTACTTTGTCACGTTCTTGTTTATATTTGGAGTAGGGTTCTAGCGTTTTTCTACACAAATACTGTTTTCCATTTTTCTTTACTTATCTTAACTTCTACCCGCATATTTTGCTTTCACTACCTTGTTTGTTTTCTGTTTTATTTATCGATATTGTTACAAATACTTCAGTCGTTCTGTTGCTAATATTTCTTTAAATTTTGCATTTTTAGTTGTATTTTGCACCAAGCAAAGTTTAATCTTATAAAATCGACGGCCCCAAATTTAAGAAAGGGGCACTTGCTCATACACAGTAGTACTCTAAAAAAACTCCACTGTGTTTTGGGGTATTGAACTTTCGATGCAATATAGTTTTTACTTCACATAGTACGCCCCTAACCTATAATAATGGCAGAAAATGCTGATCTAATGAAATTTGAAAAAATACCCTGTAAATAAATTTTAAAAGATTGAATAGGAAACATATTCGTTTCACTAAATTCGAAATAAATAGCATTTATTATATTAGCAAAGACCTGGAATTAGAATTATGAACCAAAACCGAGTGACCTATTTAACAAATGTAACCTTTTGGCTCCCTACTTTGTGATAGCACCCTGTATCATTCAAAATATATTAAAACATAAAAGAACAAAAGCACAATCTCGAGTAATGCTTCCTTAGGACAATAATATAGTACTCCATGCAATTGTTGACTCATCGTGTGCATGTACTGTGGTTACTGAGAACAAAATTACCGCAAATTTTTGATTTTTTTGTACATTTTGAATCTCGGTTTATTTTGAAAAATGCAAGGTTCTAAATTTAGGACCACCCATTTTTGCTCTTGTAGACAGTGTTAAAGACTGAAAGAAATCTTGCACATTATTGACGAGATAATGTGGGGAACAATTTGGGGGAAAATCCAGAATGTAGGCATGTTATCACATAATTACTTAGGGCGATGGTTTGAAATTCGAGCAAGTTTTGATTTGATCGCCAGTTGTCACCCAAGTCGCAAGCGAAATGGGCACTGACTTTATTTTATTCACAATATAATTGAATGTGTTTCGGAATGTGTCCTCCTTTTTATAAAGTGAGGAAAAGCTATAAACTGGATTTATTTAATCATGAAAAATGTAATTAACTAGGTACTTTAATAACGCAAAAACGGTTTTCTCTCTTTTGAAGTAGTATAAATTTTCCTGCTCCAAAATGGCACGCTACTAGATTGGGAATAAATATATTTCATTCCAAATTTGTATGTGAAATTAAAAACAATCCAATTGAAATTTTTGATTGGACAGCATAAATGTACCCAAAAACTTATATACAGAGTGTTACATATAAGTAAGTAAAAAATTTAGTGGTAGAGGGGATCAAAACAAAAACAAAAAACACTTTTTCCAAATAAACAGAGGACCCAACGTGTTTCGTTTGGGAGCCACCCGAAAAAAGGGGTGAAATTTGTATTTCTTCTTTCCGATTTTCCCAAAATTTTTTCAAAATTCCATATTTGCAATGCGATGCGAAATTAGATGACTCATTAGTAGACGTGAAGGACTGATTTTCAAATAGGTTTTGATTGAAAAGTGGTTTTAAAAAACTGTATTCTCGTTGTTCGCGGGGCCAAAAATTGTAGTGGGATTGTTTTTTCGAATTTTCAAAAACTAATTTTCAGATTTGTGATTTTCATAAAATTAAAGAAGAAATGCACTTTTTTGTTTATTTGTAAAAAGTGCCTGTATCATCCCCTTTACTACCCAATTTTTTTCCATACTTATACTTGGTTTTGCGACTGGGGTTAGTTGACGGCATTGTCGTTCCATAAGCTCCGTATAGGGCCTTGTGTGACCCTTTCCCTGTTCCCTCAACTTCGTAAGGGTGGCATATAAAAAATGTTTTTAAGAATTCCATTATAATTGGTAAATTTCATGTCACACAAGGACTCGTAAAGGATATTTAGATGTAAATGTAAAATAGTAGGGACTATTATTATTTATTACTGTTCTTGACAAGTTCGATGTACTTTTTGGACCATATTTTAATGAAAATGTGCAGTTTCCTCACGCGACTATAAAATAAGACATTTTGATTTAAAGCCTTCTTCCCGATTTGGAGTTGAATAAGAATTAGATTTAATACGGCCTGAATGATCCCTTTTATTAATTGAGCCCTTATACATATACAACCTTACCGCTAATTCAATTTATCTGTATAAAACGAAAACAGAGAAGTGCAGTGGAAAGCACATTCTCGTATAAGGAAATTTTGAGGTTGTAATGTGTTAAGGTGACATTGAATGAGGGAAAAATGTATATTTATTTATGGAGCGAGAAATTAACACTTTCTTTTTATACAACTTTAAACTTTTCTACTTTTCAAATGAAAAGGATTCTTAATATTGTCAATCAGTTAAATAATAGAAAATGCGAGGAGCTAAATTCTCGACTAAATTGGATTTTTTATAGATATATTGGTATAATTATATAACTTTTAACGCATCATTTTTTATCCCTCAGTAATTTAGTGCAAAAACCGAGGCAAAAACTGAATTTGGTGACGATCCTATCGCCACTGATTATAGTTTGTTAAAGAACGCTTTTCATATGTATGAAATACGCGTGTTTTTAATTTTTGCACGAGAAAAGCCAGGTATACTATGAACTGTACGTCTATTGATGCTACCATTAACAACCTGTTAATCTTGAACACGTAATGAAATTTTTTGCACGGTATCCATCAGTCAATGCGGTATGATATTTTGGTCCTTCTGAGGATTTAAAATTAATCCAAAACCGTAATTATTTTCTCTTGCACCACATTCGATTTTAATATTTTTTTAAACTTGCGTTGTTATTTCAATATAAGACCAATAAGAGATTTGATCGGTGACGAACCGCTACTTTTACGATTTGAAGGTGAATGTTTGCATCGCTGCTATAATAGTGTATGTACCTATGAAAATGACTCACATTCTCGACGTAAAATGAAATGTTTTACAGAATACCAAAATATATAGATGTTTTTAAAAAATGCAGTACATAATCAATATCACCGTGCAAAAGCACTCACGAATAACGTTAAAAATTGTTCTTATGGAGCTGGGATCGTGTCAAACTTCTGGAAGTTGATGACATAACTTAATTGGAATTCTTTAAATGCCTTATTGTAATTTCACTTTCTATAACCCGAAACAATTGCCTGAAGTTGAACGTTATGTTACTTACATTTTGCAAAAAAAAACGCTCCAATCCCTTGTTGTAACCAGTATAAGTAAACAAAAAAAAATCACTTATTGGTCCTTCCGAAATTGCCGAAGATTTCGTATACCGATAACAATACACTTTCTAAGACGGCAAACTAAAAACTGAATGCTTCTACAGGTAACGATAGTTGGTGTAGGTAAGTATGGTCAAGCAAGGGGGGCTACGGTACGGAGGAGGGCTACCGACCACGACCACCTGCTTCTTACCATTTACGAAGGTGATCTTCAGGTACCTACTAGAATAATGTAGATGCGACGCTCTCGTCAATCCTACCGTTGTCGCAATTATATAGGTGATTGCGTCTATTTACAATTAACTACTGGTTTCTTTTTTTCAAACTTGAACATTTGTGCTCGTTTGACATTTTTAATTTGTGTATTTTACCTTCAAATTTCAGCACGATAACATAAGCTAGTTTCATTTAGAAAAAAATTATAATGTGCACATGTCAAGCACGCGGCCGTAATTTACTGTTAAATTCGATATTACTTTTAGTGCATTTAAAATTAGAATTCAATAAGGGGATTAATTAAGTTATTTATAAAAACTACTTAAGATCTGAGTCAGCGCAAATACCAACAAATACGAATGAATTGGCAATTATATCAACAGAAAGACTCGGTAACGATCAGCGGATTAATTTCCGAAAAGGGTTCTGAAGAAGCTTCGCATTCAGTAAAACTTCTGTAACCAGACTAGGTACGTTTGGTAGTAAAAGATCGAGTTCTTTGTAATAACGTCATCTTTGAGAAATAGCGGATTGGGTACGGACATTGATTATACAGTGAGTTTTTTTTAAATGCGAACATAGGAGTTTGCATGCAATGTAATTTCCCTATGTTCGATTTAAAAAAAAAACACCAAACGCGCAACTTGTGTGACTATGAACAGCAGCTTTATAGTCTTGATGATGAAGAGCCCTCGGTAAGATTTGTTTAAAGAAGCCATGTGAGGCCATAGCAACTTTAGGATAAATTTTTCTTAAACTTACAATAACTTGACCTCACAGGGTACGCGCTGATACCACAAATCATTGTGAACCAACCTTCAATTATTTGTAGGTCATGTGCACCTGGTATTCTACTAATTTGATCTATTCAATACATAAATGAAGAAAATAAGAAAATAAATAACAAAAACCACTACAATAAATGTTCGAGGTGTCATTCTAAGCAATAACTTAACCGATTTCGGAAAATTGGACGGCGGTATTTTTAAAAATGTGACAGCTGTCAATTGTATCTACTACTCATTTGAACTACTCAATAGATTGATGTGTTTTTTTTTAAATCGAACATAGGGAAATTACATTGCATGCAAACTCCTATGTTCGCATTTAAAAAAAATTCACTGTATGTAATCAATGGTACGGATCAAGTTTAAACCATAGGTACAATTCATAAGCTTCTTTAGATTTTAGGTTAGGATCTTAACGCCCTTCAGATTCTTTAGTTTCTAAAATTCTTTCGTTTCTTAAATACAAAATATTCATTAGATTCCTTTGTTTCTTCAGGTCCTTCCAATTCCTACAATTCTTTTTTTAGTTTTTCAAGTGATTCGAAGCCATTAGATTCTTCATTGCCAATCAATTCTTAAGATTCTTCGGATTCCACCGTTTATTCACATACTTTAGATTCTCTAGAACCATGAAATATTTCAGATTCTTAGGATTATTCCAATTATTCCGATCCATAACATTTTTCTTAGGACTCTGAAAGTTTGTAGAAGGCCTTTGAATCCTGCTTTTGGGCAGTGTTGCCGACTCTTAAAGACCCTTAAACGCACTTAGAGACCCTTTAAATTCGTAAAGAACATCAAGGACCTCTAAATGTCCGATATTAATACTTAAACGCTACTAACGGCCTGCTAAAGGCTCTATAAATCAAGAAAGGTTATGGGCACCATTGAAGACTTTTTGAGAAAACACATTATGGTGATTGTTTTTAAAGGTCAATAAATAAATAAGGTATATGGTTCATTTTAAACGAAACATAAGAGATTGTGACATATTCTCTTGAAAAATCTCTTGGTATATATAGGCATGCAGTTATTTATTTTTTTAAATTTTATTTTGTGTCACAGTATTGCTGAATTACTTAACGTTTAGACACATTTACTTCGACATTAACCGTGATACGGAATTTTTTTAATCGGTACCATAATTTGCATCCGAATTATGTTCGTTTTGTGCTGACTTGTGCGCCAAAGATATTTGTTGTGTGGTAATTACCCTCGTAATTACCTTTGCAGTGGCAATTTACTGAACTCGTGGGGTCCACAATCCCACTGTGATAATTTGCGGCTATCACCAAAAAAATAATGTACTTTACATTGATTTGTAGAACTTTGCGGCGTCTAACCAAAATAAAACAAATAGGAAGCGTAATAACAATTTACGACATTTAATTAACAAGAAATATATACATTGAGGTGAACAAAAAGGTGCTTACTGTTCAGCAGTTCGAAACCGACTCTGCTTCATTTAGGGATACTTGTCCCTGGAATCTTAAAACTACCGTTAGGCCTTGCCGAAATACCAAGAAGGTCTCTTCTAAATAAAAATACTAGGAAATTCTCAACAACTAAAAGGTCTTTTGTGAAAATACTAAGAAATTCTCAACAATATTAATAGACAAGTTCGCACTTCCTATGTTGTCGGAGAGCGTGTGGCGATTTTACTGCCAACCTTATTTTATACTATTAATTCGGCCACTGTTTATATTAGTATTTATTAGTATTCATTCGTTTCTACAGAAGCCACGTCAACCTTCTTTATTGTTGTTCTTGTTACGGTTACAAAAGAATTTAATTTACCGTTGTCGAAGTTTTTGGATGGGTATTTTCAGACGCGAAACGGATGCACTTCGAATAATTAGCGTGCAAATCGCACTAAATACAGTAAACAGTTCAACTTCAAGTGCACTAATCTTTCGCAGATCGAGCACAATTGAGATGCATGCCCCTAAGTTGTAACCCCTAGAGTAGAAAATCATCTATGCCCCCTCCGTTTTTTGTTAATTGGCGTGTGCACTAAATTTACCCCCGAAATTCACTATCGCATATTCGCCCCCAGAATATTTTGCCCCGGAAGATTCGTTCTCAAAAAATTGGCCCGCGGAAAATTCACCCCCAGAAGATTCGCGCGCGGAATAGTCACTGCGCGGAAGATTTGGTTAAAAAAATTGCTTTCCCAGTTTTTGGCTCTCCGAAAACCCGCCCGGGGTATTTTCTCCCGTAAGATTCGTTCTAAAGATAAATTTCTTAAGATCAATCCGGTAGGGTTGAGCAGTCCTGAACGTGAATTTTCTTTGGAACGAGTTCCTAGCGAAGGCGTATTCCGGCGGAAGCGAATTCTATAGGGGTGGAATTTTTTTGAGATTATTTTAGTTTAGTTAAAGTGTGCGTGTGCTAGTCAGTTAGAATTAATGTCATGTCAATTTACAATTTTTCAATTACAAAATTAATTTTACACATCGGTATTCGTTAATTCAATAGGTTATGTAGCCCAGTTCACGAAGATCATTTCGGTACTTCCTGCGAATGGTGTGTACAAGAATATAAATTGTAAATTAGTGCGTGCAAGCAGTCTTGTTTGTCGAAGTGTTTAGAATCGTGTGGTACATCAACAAAGGATTGTGCACGTTTTCGGGAAGACATTCGGTGGCAAATAAGTAAGTGCATTTCGTTTTTATTTTCGTGTGAACGTTTGGAAATCGTACGGCATTGTGTGCGATTTTTAGAAAGAACATTCTAGAACGAAAAAACGCGAGGTAGTGCACGGTACGTACGGACAGTAAGCTGAAAAACGAGGAGAGTTCGTTGTTTTTGTTTCGAGAAAGTGTCATTGCACTTGTACTGTCAGTCGAGAAAAGAACAATTTCGTCGTGATTTCATCATCGTATGAAAGTGGACAATCGGTTCTTTGAGACACAGTGAATTCGGGAGAAACAAAATGGAGAGCGATCGAGTTAATATTGAAAAACTGGAAGGCGGAAGCAACTGGCTGACGTGGAAATTTCAAATGCGTCAAGTGCTAGAAGCTAGTGAACTATTCGACGTGGTAGATGGTACTGATTCCCCACCGTCAAATAGGGATGAAAATTATAGGACGGCTATCGTGGCGTGGAAGAAGAACGATGCCAAAGCGAAACGTGCAATTTCAACGGCGTGCAAGAAACAGCCATTGCTGCAAATTATGAATTGTGATACGGCAAATTCGATGTGGACGACGCTGAAAAGTACATACGAGCAGACATCGAAGTCAAATGTTTTATTTTTGCAACAAAAATATTACAGTTTCACAAAGGAGCCGGGCGATGATATTGCAACGTGTATTTCGAAACTCATGGAGATTGTGCAGCAATTGAAGGATCAAAAGGAGAATATTTCCGATACGATGGTTATGACAAAAATTTTGATGGCTTTGCCAGCAGAATATAATCATTTCCACAGTGCTTGGGAATCGACGAGTGCGGAAAATCAAACCATGTCAAATTTGCGTGCGCGATTAATGGCAGAGGAGCTTCGATTAAAATCGCAGGGTCAGATAGAAAATGTGGAAGCGTTAATGGCCAAACAGAATTTTTCGAAGAAATGCAATTCTAATTCGAAAAAGGGTCATTCGTCGGGACAGAACAAGAAACAAAAGGGCACGAGTAATAGCGGAAAGTTAAAAGGTTCGTGTTTTTCTTGCGGCGAAGCTGGTCATTGGAAACGGGACTGTCCACAGAAAAAGCAGAACAGTTCGGACAACAGCAAAAAGCATGACAGTGCATTGGCAGATGCATTTGTGTGTCATGGCACAACATTAACTGAAGACAAAGACTCTTGGGTGTTGGATTCAGGGGCCAGTGACCACATGTGTCATCGACGTGAGTGGTTTTACAATTTTGTGGAGACATCGTCACATATAATAATTGGAAATGGCGAAAAGATCATGGCTCAAGGAAGAGGTGACATCAATCTTCTTGCGTTTGATGGTAATCAATGGATTCGCAGACGGATGGTAGATGTGTTGTATGTACCGGAAATTCACGTGAATTTATTTTCGTCTGGAAAGGCCATGGATCGTGGTTATCAATTACAGTCGGATAACAAACTTTGCAAATTGCTGAAAAATGGAAACATTTTTGCAGTGGGAGTTCGACGC